CATTTCCCCCTACAACAAAATAAGTCCAGTCAGAAGGTGCACTATAAACACTTCACTATTCATTTTCTAAACCATTTTAGTCTTTAAAAATTTTCTAAAACCTATTTTAGTTTTTTAATGCTGCTTCAGAAATCAGAACAATTTAGCACTCAGACAGGATACATTTATTAGTGCTTAATAATCAATGCAATTCAAGTTGAAGTAATTTCTAACAGCATAAATAACTGAGAAACACCTTCACATTGTAAATGTTAATGTGTGAATAAAATTATGTATGTCATTCCATGTCAAGTAAAGTATCTAAAAACATCAGAAAATGTTTGTCTGAATGAACCAGCGTTAATAATAACAGAAGGAAAAACTAAGGAAGTAAAATATTTTTAGGGCTGGATCCAAATCCACTTAAGTTTAGGGATGCTTTTAATATACAGTGTGTGTGTGTGTGTGTGTGTGTGTGTGTGTGTGTGTGTGTATGTGTGTGTGTGTAAGTAAATCTATCCTAAATCACCCAAAGAAGAAACAACTTATAGGGAAATGCATACATTTTGAGAAAAAGTACAGTTTGGAAACTGGGTTTTTGGTTGTAGCCATGTTGGTCTAAGGATGTAGACAGGCAAGGTTTTTGAGTAGATGTGATATCTTTTATTAGACCAACTGAGTAGTTGGAAAAAAGGTTTTGGCAAGCTTCCGGGTGTAGTCACCCTTCTTTAGGACTTCCAATACCTGAAGAAGGTTGACTGTGCCTGAAAGGTTGCTAAGAACTTTTTTCCAACTACTCAGTTGATCTAATAAAAGAGATCACCTCTGCTCAAAAATCTTGCCTGCCTACAGTCAGGAAAGACACTTAAACCAAAATATAATCTAGGGATGTTGAGTTTCACAAAAAGTATCCACCCTTTTAATACTTTAAAAAGACTCACATTTTGGGAATTATCATATTTACTCTAACCCAAGAAAAGGGCTTGTATTTTCCCTCTCTTTAACATTGGGAGCAAACAAAAAGCCTTGTCTTTGATTCATATACCAGCCTAGGGCAGGCGGTGGGCCTGGATATAGCTCTGGCTCTGGCTTCAGCTCCCTGATGCAGCCCCAGGGCCAGAGATGCAGCCACTACTTGCCCTGCCTGAGCCAACAAGGCTTGCAGAGGCTCCAGCAGTGGGGGAGGGGCTGCAGCAAGTGGGTTGAAGGGAAGTCTGTGCAGTGGTCTGGGGCCATGGAGAAATGACTCTGCAGTTTTGGGCAGGAGTGGCACTGGAGAGGCTTCAGAGTGGCAGTACAGCTGTATAGGCTCTGGCTCTGCCTCTAGCCTTGACCAGAGGCTAGAGCAGGAGTTGCAGCTGCCCCAGCAGCCTGGCCAGGGCTGGGGCCAGGGACACTGCTGCTGCTTGGTGGGGCTGGAGCCAGAGCCACTAGTGTTCTTCATGCCCTGGGTCGGAGCTGCCTTATAGGCCAAACAGCACCAGGGTTGCGGGGGTAAGCAAGTGGCAGAGGGGTAGGCAGAAGATCCTGGTAGAAGGAGGGACAAATGCTAAGGGTGACAGGTAGAAAGGCAAGAGTCAAGGGTCATATTTCCTATCTCCCTGATGCTGCTTTCCCCACCACAGTGGTGTGGGAGGGTGGGATGGGGGCAAATTTAGGATGGCCGTCTAATACTTATATTCTATACATGAAAAATTAAAAACAAATTAAAAACAAAAATTAAAACAAATACATAGAATTTAATTATAGGGAGTTATCTTAAACTCAAAGTTTGCTTGAATTTGGGTAAGTACAGTAATCTACTTACATTTTCCAAGCCGTACCTTTAGGGGGCTCTGGAATGAAACAGTGGAAATGGCTTTTGTGTTATACAGTGTAGATCAATTAGAACTCAGAGAGTGAATTTTGCAGCCTTCCGTTAGGGGCTGAATAATAACTGGTACATGGTACCAGGAGTAAAATGATCTGATAACTGAGGAAAGCCCTGCTGGATATTTTTATTAGTTATCAGTTAACTAAGCAGAAAAGACTGCATATAAAATGATAATACAGAAATCCAACTTCTGCACTCCATGTAAAATAGAACAGAACTATATGTGGAAGAAAGGAAAGAGTTTGTAAAGATGAAGAATCAGTGTTGTAATTTTTGGGAGGCTGAGTCACTGATAAGTAAAGGGGAGAGAGGAAACAGGGCCCCCTGGCCCCTAGTCATGCCCCCGCTGTAGTTGCCCCACCACCCCAACTCTCACCTTCTCCTACTGGAGCCTGTCCACCTCAGGACCGCCCCATGGCTGAGTGGGTGCAGGTTCCCTCTCGGCACAAAGCCAAAAGGAAGACCCGGGCACAGCTCTGATGTGGAGGACTCCTACCCCACTCCCAAGACCACCACATGGGGGGAAGAAGTGACCCAACTTCCGGGTCCCTCCCCTGCTGCGCTTGACACCCCACCCGTGGAAAAGATCAAATGAGTGATCCCTGTGGACAAGATTTTGGGGCTGCTGGACAGCCCTGAGCAGGAGCCCATGGAAGAGACCCCTCACACCACAAGCCAGGGCATATCCCCCAAGACCATGGGCACCGAGGCTGAGGCCAACTCAACGAAATGTCCTTCAGTGGAGCCCACCCCCTCCAATGATCTAGGGTAGATGGGAGTCCTGGGACTCACCCCAGTGAGTTATAAGAGGGGGAAGTCCCCTCTTCCAGGACCCTGAGATGGGCACTAATATCACCCTGGTGCTTGACGGGTCTCTTCCCTTCCCCTCCCAGTCAAACCCCACTACTATCTAGCCCAATGATCCCACACCAGAGAGAGTTGGGGTGGGGTCCCCAGACCAGCAGTCCAATTTTGTTGGGGACCCCACACAGACCCCCTGGGGTTCCAGCTCTGCCCCACCATCTTGTGAGGGAACCCTGCCCCAACCTTTACCCCCACCCCCATCCCAAGGGGCTGCAGAGCTCTCCCAATCCCAGCTGGAGTTCAGGGTCTTAGCAGACCAGGGGGTTCAGATGGTACCTATGGAGCCCAGTGAACCCCAGGAAGAGGAGGACACTTGAGACCCAGCAGGCTCCATGGAGCCTGCTGACCTCTCGGTCCCGGCGGTCCCCAGGGGTGAGCTACTTGCATTTCTTGACTGTGACTACACTTGCCAGTCTGCAAGCAATGTACAGATCACCTCGGACTGTTGGGGAGATTTTGACAGTGTCCTTGCCACTGCAAGGGCACTGGCAGGGGAAGGCAAGGGGCCCCAAAGCTGCACAGCCTGGATCTATAGGCAGGCCCGCAGTTTTGTAGGTGCCCTCTATAGTTATGGGAGGGTGCTGCATGAGCTGGCAGGCCCCATACCGGGCATTGAGATGCATGAGGTACCTGCTGGACCGTCTACTCCAAGCCACCCAGCCATGAGGTTGTTTAAGATTGCGACCTTCAACGTCCACGGTTGCAGGAACGGTCTCCAGAGATGCTGGGTGATCTCCTTCCTTCAGGATGGGGGGGTACCCTGTAGTATCCTTGCAGGAGATCCTGACAACTTGGGCTGATTAACCTAATTGGTGGCTGGAGTGGGGAGGCAGGGTCTTTTTTAGCTACCTCTTGTGGGGTGGCCACCCTGTTCTTCCTAGGCCTGCAGCCAGAGATTCTCTAAGATGTTGAGGTGGTGCCGGGCCACCTCCTGCACCTCCAGATCCAAGTGCAGGGGCTGGTATTTAACCTACTGAATGTGTACACCCCTATGAGGGACCTGGAGTTGGCAGATTTTTTCAGCCAGGTGGCCACTTACGTTGGCACCCTCAACCCTCATGAGTGCCTGGTCCTTGGTGGGGACTTTAACGTCACACTGGACATGAGAGACCGGTCAGTCAGGGGGCAGAACCAGGCTGTCATATGTGTCTTTGGGGAGATCCTGATGAACTACTCCCTAGTGGATGTCTGGTGTGCCCGTCACCCTACTGATCCCCGCCCCCACTGCCTTCACCTATTTGAGGGTGGGAGAGGACCAGGCATGCCACTCCCAGTTGGACTGGGTTTATATCTCTTTGCCACATTTTCCCTGGGCCCACTCCTCTGGTATTCAGCCGACCCCCTTCAGAGATCACCACCTTGTCTGGGCCCAGGCCATGCTGGGCGGCCAGGGTTGGCCTAGTGGCATTTCGGTGCCAGTCTGATGGAGGATGGGCTTCAGGGAGGCCTTCTTGGAGTTCTGGCTAGCCTGGTGGGAGCAACGGGCAACTTTTCCCTCACTTCAGATGTGGTGGGACGTGGAGAACATATGCATCTGGCTTTTTTACTGCAGCTACACTAGGGGGCACACCCGGCAGAGAGAGACCATCCAGGAGCAGCTTAAGCAGGAAGTGCTAGAGCTGGAGAGGTGCCTGGATACAAACCCAACCAACCCATCCCTCTGTGGAGAGTGTTAGGAGAGGTGGGAAGAGCTTCGTCCTCTGGATGACCACCGCACCCATGGTGTGTTTGTCTGCTCTCGCATCCAGCTATTTCAGGAGATGGACTGAGGCTCCCGCTTCTTCTATGCCCTGGAGAGGAGGCAGGGGA